GGGACTGGCTAACCATGTCTCTGCTAAATAGCTGGCTCCTCCTCGGACTATGACATGTACAGTACCGATGACGCGCCCGGCGCCCCGTTTAAGAAGACTCACATGCATCCCATCCCCGATCAAGTCTTTGAGCGGTTAAACAGGGGAGAGGTCAACACGCAACTCGGCTTGTTCGCCGACATCAACTACGCGTGGGCTGCTATTGACAGCTCCCTCTTCCTCTGGGACTATACCCACCCGAACCCCGAACTCATCGGCTACGAAGATGCCACCACTACCATTAGCGCTGTCGCCCTGGTGCCCCCTAAACCTGGCGTGTTCGTTAGTAACATCACCCATATTCTAGTCGTTGCTACGGGCACCGAGATAGTTCTATTGGGCGTATCTGCGACACCTACCCCTTCCGGATCGAAGACCGTCTCCCTCTACCAAACAAAAATGGCAGTACATCGCGGAAGCACCGATGTCAGCATAATCGTCGGTACCGCGAGCGGCCGTATCTTCTTTGGTGGCTATACCGATACCGATATCTACGAGCTCCTTTACCAGCAAGAAGAGCGCTGGTTCTTGAGCAGATGCGCCAAGGTCAATCACACACACCCCGGCTGGACATCAGTTGTTCCTAACCTCCCCGTGCCAATGGGTTTCTTGGGCCACCGTGATCAGGAACACCTTGTCCAATTGGTTGTCGACGATACTCGGAAACTCCTATACTCCCTCTCGGACAAGTCCACCATTCGAACGTACTTCATGGAGCCGTCTGGGAAACTGACAAAGGTTATCGAGAAGAACAAGGTCTCGTGTCTCAGTGATATGACCCACATGGTTGATTTGAACAGAAACCCACTGCTTAACGAAAGAGTCAGGATCGTCTCCCTTAGCGCCATCTCGTCGCAAGAGGCTTCGAAGTCTCACCTCATGGCACTCACCAACACTGGATGCCGCTTGTTCCTTACAGCAACCAGCGCGGCATCCTATATGCTCAACGCCTCAGCAAACCTTGCTCCTCAGAGCATGCAGGTCCAATACATCAAGTTCCCTCCTACGAGCGAAGATCAGCAGGTTCCCCTGCGCAACGAGACCAACACTGCGGTTGCATATGCACCTGCGCCTGCGGCCGCTCAGGATCAGATGTCCGGTCTGCTTTCCGAGAGTTGTCTTGGTCAACGTTTTGCCCCGGGTTATTTCTTCGATGCGGTTCGCTCCAATGAAAGTCGCACGGACTTGCTCTTTGTATCAGCCCCCGATGTCGGCAGACTCAAGCAAAACGCTGTACTCAGATATGTTGAGCAAGGTACTTTGATCCCCTTGGGTGACGGAAGCCGTGTTCTTGCTATCGGTCTTACTGGCAAGCCTTTTGCGGCTGCGAAGCAACCGCTTGGATTCGGCAACGAGCTAGCTGTTCAGTTCGACCACACCCCAAGCGAATTCGCAGTACTCACGAACACCGGCATTCATATCGTTCGTCGCAGGAGGTTCATCGACATCTTCGCCAATGCGATTCGCGTAGCATCTGGCGATGAAGATTTGGACAACAAGGTCAAGACTTTTACGACCATCAATGGCAGGGTTGAAATGATCGCGGCTGCGTTGGCAGTAGCATGCGGTCAGGGAGGAGACTCCCGTCGTGCTGTGGACCCTCTTACTGAGGACAGAGCGCGCTCCATCTTTATCAACTATGGTGGTCAGCCAAAGCTCGCGGATGCAGATGTCTTGCAGGCCCCGGAGGACAACGTCCAGCTCTCGGCTCGTCACGACGCGCTAGTACTTTACCTTGCGCGCCTTACCCGCACCTTGTGGAAGTCCAAGGTCATTGCGATGGCCACGGATAGCGCTTCGGGGGGTTTCACCGTCGGCTCGGCAATTCCCATCTCCAAGCTCACGACGGTACAGGAAAGCGTGCAACGACTAAGGAGATTCCTTGAGCAAAACAAGAGTCTCATTCAAGGCCTGGCTGGGCCCTCTGATCGTGTTTCTAGCAGACAAGAGGAAATCGCTTTGCAGCTGGAGCACCAGTCTCTTCACGCTCTGCGCCAGCTTATGGACAGCGTGTCTGAGGGCATTTCCTTCGTCCTGATGTTGTTTGATGAGCGCGTAACCGACATCTTTATGCGACTAGATGATACGTCTAAGCAGCAGCTGCAAAACCTTACATATGAGGGCTTGTTCTCCCAAGACTCCGGAAAGGAGCTCGCCAAGGTTCTGGTTAAGGCTATTGTTAACCGCAATATCGCCAACGGAGCCAATGTCGAGACTGTCGCCGATGCACTCAGGAGAAGGTGTGGCACTTTCTGCTCCCCTGATGACGTCGTGATCTTCAAGGCTCAAGAACAATTGCAGCGGGCCAGCGAGTCGCTGGGCAACCCCAACCTGATGCGCACTCTGCTTGCGGAGAGCTTGCGGTTGTTTGACCAGGTGGCGGGAAGCCTGACCATGACCAACCTTCGCAATGCCGTCGAGCAATACATCAACCTAAAGTACTACGCTGGCGCTATTCAACTGTGCTTGGTCGTCGCGAGGGAGAAGGACCGTGGAAATTCGGCTCTTTCTTGGTTCAACGAAGGCAAGCCGGCCAACGATCCCCGTGAAAAGGCTTTCAACGACCGGACAAGCTGCTATTCCTTGATTCACGAGGTGCTTGACCGTCTCGAGATTGCGTCTGCCTCAGAACCAGATATTGTTGACGGCAGGCCAACCCTCGCTGCCACCAAGCGGGCGGAGGCATACAGCGTCGTCAACAGCTCGGAGGATGAGGTCTTCCATCTCGATCTGTACGACTGGTACATTGAGAAGGGTTGGACCGACCGTATGTTGGCCATCGACTCTCCTCATGTCATCACATACCTGCAGAGACTCGCAGCGGTAGATGCTCAGCACGCTGATCTTCTGTGCCGCTTCTACACGCAACGGAGCCGCTTCTTCGAGGCCGCTCAAGTGCAGGCTGATCTTGCCAAGTCAGACTTTCCTCTTGGCATCAAGGAACGCATTACCTTATTGAGCAGAGCGAAGGCCAACGCCAGCGTCACCACTGTGGGTGTGAGCCGCCAGCAACAGCAGCTCCTCAACCACGAAGTAACTGATCTTCTGGAGATTGCCCACATCCAGGACGATTTGCTTGAGAGACTAAGGGCCGACCCTCGCATAGTAGCTGATAAGCTCCCTGATATCGAGAAGGTTTTGGATGGTCCCGTCCAGGGCCTTTCTACTGTGAGTTTTTTCCCATCATAGGGATGCTCTACTCATTGCTAACATGTACCGTATAGCTCTTCAACGATTTCGCCGATCAGGCCGGATACTACGACCTCTGCCTGCTCATCTACAACTCTGCGGACTACCAGAACCCGCACACCATCAACGAGACGTGGGAGAATCTCATCAGCCAGATTCACTTCGAAACCGAGCAGAAGCAAGAGGCATGGCGTCTCGTCGAGGCAGGCGAGGCATTGCCCGACGGTTTTGAGGGTCTCGAAGCTGCGCCCCCTATGCCGTACGAGGCTGTTGTCTCCCAGATCCAGTCCATTGCCCACCGCACCTCTTTCGACAGCCTCATCTTCCCCGTCGACACTCTTCTCCCCATGGTCTGCGGCTACGCTATCAACAACCACCAGGACGCCTCGATCGGCGCCGACCCTTGCTGGCCCGTCGCCGCCTTCCTGCAGCTGGGCGTTCCTCACACTCTGATCGCCCGCGTGCTGGAGAACATGTTTGACGCTCAGGAGGCGCCCTTCGTTAGTAAGCACAGGAAGTCGGTCGTGCAATGGATCAACCTCGTGGTCGACTCCTGGATTCGCGAGATTGAGCACCGCGGCTCGGCCTCGGGCAAGAACGGCGACGGTGCTATCACCACTTGGGTCGCTGAGCTGCTGACGAGAGCCGAGGAGGCGCTGGTGGCGATTGCCGCGGGCACCAGGGATCCGGCTCAGATGGCGAGCCTCACGGCTACCAGGAGGGACACGAGAGATTTGAAGAGGAAAGTGGAGATTCTTTCCCAGGCTGAGGCCCAGGGCAGTTTGTTGTTCAGCACCAGGTAGGACCAGGTGAATCCAATGACTCCCAAGCCGCAAACGCCCATGAATAAAACGAAGCGGACGTCGTTTAAGGCCACGGTAGAGGAGATTCCAGATGGGGCGGAAGATTCGATGCTTGGTGGTAGTATTCCTGGAAAGTGGAAGAAGGGGTTTACTTGATGTGGATGCCGGGGGATGGCTATCGGTGTGAGTTTAAGCATTGCGCCATTTTGGACTGTGAAAAAAACATGGGTGTGAGGATGGCATAGGGAAGAGAAGGAAGCTAGAATTACGAGAAAGCGATTGTTGCGCCATGGCCCTTTCTAGCATATTAGATCGGTCCGCAATGGCTTTTGGTGTGTGGGTGTAGGTTTGGTTAATGTGTACTGTACATAAAGTATCTATCTGGCTTTTGTCATGTTTATTCTAGGTTACGCCTGCTTGCTTCGCCTTTCCATTTGCGTATCTGAAGATGGGTATGATTGTTGATGTTGTCAGTGTGTCTGCGAGGGTTGTAGAAAAATGGAGAAGCTGGGTCATGTATCCGTCTGCTGAGTGGTCCACTTTTACTACGCCTTTTTCACTTGGTGCTCTTTCGGCTTGAACACTCACGCTCAAGAGGGTGGGTGGTTTTGTGCTTTTGCGTCCGGATGCATTGGGAGAGAGGCGGGAACCGGCTGGAGTTATTTAAGGCAGAAGGAATCCAGAGAGAGACGATACAAAAACACGCCTATATCCATGGCTAGCTGAGATCAAGTTCAACTTGGCAATTTGCCTTGACGCTCACTCCCCTCAGTCTCCTGGACAAAAAGAAGGCAGACACCATTGAGAGAGATTGTAGACGTCCGAAACCCAAGTCCCTCAACCCGAAGCAGATTTGTGCAAGGGAAAAGAGCACTGCAACTGACGGAACATGAAAAGGAAAGGCAAAAAGAAAAAGAAAAGGAAGACACAGAAAGGAAAACAAGAAAAAAATGAAAAGAAAAAAAGAATTGCGCGGTCCGGGATTCGAACCGGGGTCCTTCACCAGGAGATTTGTGTTCAGATTGCCCTCAGAAAATAGGTCTTTGACTGTGGTTCTACGGGAGTTTCAACCCTGCTACCCAAATCGAGTGACGCGCTAGACCACTGCGCCAACCACGCTTGTTTTTTTCTTGTTGGAGACGGGACCCGAAGAAGTACCCTATGTACCACAAGCGACGGAAGGGGCCGGCGGCAAGTGAGGCAGGAGCTGGCAGAGGGCGCGGGGCACGGGTGCAAACTTGGGAGGGAAGGAAGGAAGGTAGGAGGGAGGTGACACCTCTGTTGCCTGTGAAGTGGCTAGAGGTACCTACAGTAACTAGACAGCGAAAGCGTCTGTTATGGAACACCGCCCGATTTGTAATAAACTCATTACTTTTCTCTTCTCTTCCATGTCATGCAAGTATGGTCGTAATCGTCGCCCTTCCTCCCCCCCCCTTCCCTTCTCTCGTTAAGTTTTCTGTCACTTCTTCCTCATATAGCCCTACTCTTTGCCTAATCTCAACTAATTCTCGCTTCGCTCCACCATCACCACAAAACTTTCCAAACTACTCGCAACATCACCAATCACCTCACCTCCCTCACCTCCCGCTCGACTGAACCTTATTCAAGCGCCAACTCCAACTCCAAACCCATTAACCTACCCTCACTCAACCCCATCCTCACCCACCTTTGCCATCGCCGACGCCACCGATCCCAGAATCAGGGCTGTCAGAGACACACTAGACACTAGCTTGGTGTGGTCGGTTCTCCTTTGGTACCTGTATAGGTACAGGTATGTATTTTCCAGGGTGATAGGGTGATCTTGGTGAGAAGTTCGATGAGTGGGCCGAAAGGTTCGGGGAGGGGGGTAGAGGCTCGGTAACGGTGGCAGCAGCAGGGGTAGTGGCATGTGAGTATGACCTGTAGTAGTCTTCTGGCACTCTTTCTGGTTCGTGTTCTGGGTCCAGGTCGTCGTGATGGTCATGCTCATGTTTATGGTCCACTGCCTCTCTTTCTTCGGTCAACTCCACCTGTCTGTGTGATGAGCCCCTAGAGACACTCCTCCGACTTGGAGGCCGTCCTTCCTCATCCAGCACCACAGTCTCATCGCCCTCTCGCTCATCAAGCTCTTCTTGCTCCTCATGCTCCAAAAGGGACATCCCTCCCCTTTGCCCAGTTTGATCCAAGTCCTTCTCCAAACTCAGCAGCTCCACAACCGACACCGAAACCGCCGAAGGTGATTTCGCACCTGAGTGTCTCGAATATGTCGATGATTGGCGCGATCCTTTTCGTTCATGTTGTTCTTCTCGTTGGGGGCTCACCGCCACCCCATACCCACCCGACCCGTAAGCGGGAGACCTAGAAGACCTGAGAGACCTGTGAGATAGAGAGCCAGGCGGGTGGGAAATCTCCGAGATACTAGCAAAATCCGTCACTGTCGGCGATGGTGGCATGGAGGATACTCTTGATCTTGGTCTTGATATTGATGAGTGTCGTGAAGCGGGGCGGGCACCAAGACAGCTGTGCTTTCGGCTATGCGTGTGGCTATATCGGCTTGGGGAGTGGTGTAGTGGTGTGGGGGACTGTGGCGGGCTTGATTTTCGTGAGGCAGGACGGCTGTAGTTCTGGCTATGGTTGTAGCTACGACTGTGGGGGCTTGGGGAGCGTGGAATGGGTGAGTGATGGGGTGGTGTAGGAGACTGAGGCGGGCTGGAGCGTCGGGGGTGTGAGGCGAGTAGTGAGTGATGGGAGGCGTGAGACCTTGGGGGCGATGGGCTGACCCTTGGCATGAGAGATGTACCAGAGTGTCTAGAGGGGATTGAAGAATGGCGTGAAGCCTGTGAGCTCCTGGTTCGGGGATTTTTTGCGGGAGGTGGACTGGCTGAGCGGATGGTCGATGATGATGTTGAAGGAGACGCAGTATGCTCATGTGATGATGCTACCTTTGATCTGCGCGCTTCCTTTGACGACCCCTTTGGCGATGCTACTTTGGACCCACGCCTTTCTTTTGACGACGCATCTGTTGGAGCCTTCACATAACTAACACCCGAGGTTGGTCTTCCTGGGCCCTGACGGTGGGATCCTACTTCCGAGCCCGCGGCCGAACGTTGTTTATGCGAATCTGGTCTAGGTGATTGCGCTCCCTTCGCATCATCCACAACCGGTTCCCGTATCGATGCTTTCGAAGCTCTTGACATACTCCGGTGATTGAGATTCACCGAAGTCGACTGCTCAGACCCAGCCTGAGAGGGTGCACTCCGCTCACTGGTCGTACCCGCTACAGACATAAGCTTGCCGAAATTAGCTTGTGCCTCAGAAAGGTCTTGTCGTGAGATCACACTGCCATTAGATGTTGGTGAGTGAACGTCAATGATATGCGCATCAGGTGAGCCAGGCACAGAACCATTTGGTTTTGGTGAGTGAACATCGATGATAATCGAATCAGGTGAACCAGGTGCAGAACCATCTGGACGAGGACCGCCTGAGGGATCCCCTTTAGGACCATGGGGCGGAGGTCCATCCCCATCTAGAGGCGGCTCATCGGGTGAAGAACTACTCGAAGAAGAAGAGCCATCCTCACGAGTTGGCGTACTCGTCCCTTCCGGCGAAGTAACGTCCGCTGCCGGCGGAGGTGGCGGTTCCCTCTTCCTCTGGTTCCGATCCAAAAAGCTCATCACATTAACCGGCCTAGTCCTATACACAGCAATATGCGGGGGCGTCCTCGGCGGCTGTGGGGGCGGCGGTGGTGGATCTGGACATGGAGGATAAGGTGGTGGCGGGTAGATGTAGTAATTCGGGGTCTGTTGTTGTTCCAAATGATATTCCGTCCCGGTATAACTTGCATAATCTTCTGACGGTGACCCTGATGATCCATTGTTGTGACCAAAGTACTCGGGATAATAGTACCAGTAGCGTACTGAACGTCTGGACCTTAGTTGCCTTGAAGAACTTGCGTTTTGCTGTTGTTGTGTGTTGCTGCTGCTTTTCTTGCTTGAGCCACGGGTGGTCCACCAGCAGAGGAAGATGATGAGGGCGGAGGTGAAGGTGGAAAAGATCACGGCGAAGACAATCCAGCCGGCTTCGACGGAGGTTTTTTTTCTGGGTAGGAGGATCATGGTTCTGTGGTAAGATATGCAAAGTTCGTCGGGATGAGAGAGCGTTTCTATCTGAGATTGAGCGTTAAGGGAATCCGACCAAGCTAGGCTTGCATACGCGTATCGATATTCGTCTATAACCTTTGGTTGTCGTGGACAAAATGTTGGTGTAAATGTTTTGCTTTGGTGCTGCGATGGTTCCTGTGCTTGAGGCTCTTGTGTTATCATTCATCTACACCAAATACCAATTTATGTGAGAAGATATGCTCAAAGCCGCCTCAAAAAGGAGGATTTGCAGAGCCCCGTTCACCTAGTTTCGGAATCCTAAGCTGGACTTGTGATGTTGATGCCTCGAAAATCAACAGTGTCTTCTCCCCAAAAAGCCGTGAAGTCATCGCAAGATGTTAATCGAAGACCAGCAAATCACCCGAAGATGTCACAATGGCACATGTAACACGCTTGACATGCAGTTTGCGTGTGACGTTTCTATCGACGCAGCTTTACAAGCTTGTTCGCGCCGAAGCCATGGTGGGGTGGTTTTGTATCTCCATCGTGGACTCCAGTCATTGTTGTTGGTGTAGCGACTGAGGTGTTCACAATCGCTTCTGATATGTCCACCTTGACGAGCCAGCGGGTTACAACCCATGTTGTCCGTCACTCTTACAACACCCATATCATACAGAAGCAAGCCTCGTTTTTTTGCGATCCGTACAAGTGTTGTTGAAGTCACACCTGTTTGGCCTTATCTTTGGGCCTCTAACTGGTCTGTCGACGGGCGCGTGGTAGCCGTGGTTTTGTTTATATTGCTCAGGATTGACTGTAGGTAGTTGCTTCATGTTAGTCGGTTTCACGAGTTGTATTGGAGGTTGAAAGAACATCTGTGTATACGCTTGCACGCCGGAGCTCGGTCAATTATTTCCCCGTTACAGGTGATATCGCTCCCTTTGTACCGAGGTTTTGTTGGATCACATCATGACCCGTATTGAGTGGACGCCCTTAATTTGACCTGGCCGCGTACCGTGACTTCAACTACTCTAGATTTGAATTGTTCGGCGTCTTGACCTATTCGGCGACATGAAACCCAGCGACACAGCTCCATATAATCAGTACCAAAAGAAACCAAGATGATAATATCTGTGGCTTGCAGGCGCAAGGTAGGATCGAGTCTCCAACGGGATATATTGGCTTAATGTTTCACAGAGCCATCGGCTGACTCGGCCGCTTCGACCGCTCCGCAGGTTGATTGGACCAGAGCTTACAAAGCATTTAACATGTAAGCTGCAGATACCAAGCTTGAGGTTTCACGAGATGATCAGTATGTTGACTGCTATAAAGCAGGCGAGCCTTCCAAACTCAAATCGCGCAGTCTCATGTAGTTGATAATAGACAGTTGCCGACGGCAGTTTCAACAGCAAACGGGCCTTTATCGAGATGCCACCTCGTCTGATCTTTGGAGCAGGGGGCATTGGCACCACTGCGAGAAGCTTCACCTACACATGGGACACTCCTGAAAAAGTATCGGACCTTTTGTCGGTCTTGCAGGAGCTCAACATCTTGGAGCTCGACTCGGCCGCCGTGTACCCGCCTGGCAACACTTGGAATGCCGAGACGCTCCAAGGTCAAAGCAAAGCAGCTGACAAGGGCTTCATTATTGACTCCAAAGCGAACGCTGACCGTCCTCTGCCGCATCTTGACGAAGAGCGCATTGACATTAGCATCAGCCAGACATTGGGCCTTCTCGGGGTTGACCGTGTGCGAGTCTACTATGCTCATGCGCCGGATCCGAGTACGGCATTGGAGAAACAGGCTAGGGCTTTCGATCTCCAGTATAAAGCCGGCAAATTTGAGAAGGTATGATGTGTTCCAAGGTCTTTGACCGCGGCAAGAATGGAGCAACGAACACTGATTTAGTTAGCTCGGACTTTGTAACTATACTACCAAGGACATGGAAGAGTTCTTTGCCATCTGCGACGAGAAGGGCTACGTCAAGCCGTCGGTGTACCAGGGACAATATAACGCTTTGCAACGGCACCCTGAGAAGAATTT